CTTACACACCGTATCGTAAGAGAAATTTTTAGCTGAAAATACGGGCGTATATTTACGCGCGTATGCGTATACCATGAGTAAAAAATTCCCGTATACGCCGTATACGAGTATACGGTATTACTAAGCATATTCTCTAATTAAATACTAAGTTTGAGTTTCTAAACCTCATTTACTTTACTTATTTATATACCAAATCATTTTAATACTATATAACAACCTTGTTTAACTTAAAAAGTACTAGTATGAGTACTACAGTTAGTATGGTTACTAATAACTTACTATGGTACATCACATGAAGGTTTGGAGCTGTCACGTGATATTAACTCACAACACTCAACTGTCTTATAACTCTTATTTCTGTGTGTAAACAGTACTACAATACATTTTCTTAGCTCAGTAATATCAAGCATTTGTTTTGAAAGATGATAGTGTACTTTTATGAGCTATTTTAATGTAAAGTATCTTGTTATATTTGGCACAGCATATATACTGTATATGCTGTATACAGAAGTAGTGTATTGTATATGGGTCCTGCTGACCCAGTTTATGCCTGTAATTATACACATGTATGTGTATATGTGGGAAATTTTATGCACATAAGTGTATACACTACACACAGAGCACTAGCCCAAATTTTCGAAGTGTTTCAGGTGAATGTAGGCAAGAATGTGATATGTCCAAGCAACCAAACTCTTGACAGGAGCCAGAAGCACAGTAATAATCGTTTTCATCTTTTATGTGCTCTGGTTTAATTTCACAGCAGTCAGAATGTGCTTCATACAGTAAGAGTGTAGCATGCTAAACAGAGATGATTACCTGGCAGGATTTTGTATTGATCTGTTGTTGCACTTCTGTACTACACACTGAAAATTACAGGACAAGTTGAGCAAGTTCTTCTCTGGCAGACCTTGGTAGTGTAATAAGTACAGCAAATTGTGTCCAGGACAGGACAATGCTTACAATGGGTAGGAGAATGTTGTGGTTTGGGTAGGAGGTGGGCACTTATTTGCTACAGTCAGTGACACTTGTCATGCTAAAATCATGATGGCTGTGTTGGGAGGTTGAAATGTACTTGATGGATGTTTGTATACATGTTAGTAATAAGTAGGTGTAATCAACCTTGCAATTCTGTGTGAGATTTGGTCATGCAAGTGTAATAGAGTGGATTGGATGACATAATCCTGACATGTTTTTGCTTTACATTATTAGGTGACTTCAATTAATTGGCAGGAGCATTTGCAGGACAGTAGGAAATTTTTGGGGTGGCTTGGCAAAGTGGACATACCTTAATATATACTAAATAGAGACATGAATCTGTACAACTCTTTGAAAGTGTCTGCAAGTGCTTAAACCTACTTATTAGTACTTGTAAACATGTCAGAGTTTGAAATAAAGAAATGTCTGACTACAACCTAACAAAAATCATAAGTAACATGACATGGACATTAAATGTCAATATCTGTAAGTCCAGCTCTTCAATTTTGAGGGGCTTGTACAACTTGCTCTAAATAGCTAAAGCCCTTCTACAAGTCCCTCTACCAATTAATTAAAGTCACCTAATTATATTCATCTGTTTTACCCTTTCTCCTAACTAATTTGTTTCATACTGTCTCACCTTACTAATAATGGTGATACTTATGGAGTCAATTCTGTTGTGTTCTCATTTGACAGAAAACACATTGTCTCTAGTCCTTATAACATAACAGTCTAAATCTGGGATACTAAAAGTAGACAGACTGTTTCTGATTCTTTTGAACTGTAGACTAACAGTGTAGAGACTTACATTCTCTCCCTATAGAACCTGTATTGTCTCAGGCTCATAGGATTGTACAACCTGAATCTTAAATGCTGAAAGTGTACAGACTGTTTCTGAGTATGTTTTAAAGGGTATGTAAGTGTAGTAAATACTGTTACTTTCTTGTGTAATAAAAGATACATTGATTCTGGCTCAGACAATAAGACAATTTGAATCTAGGATGCTGAAAGTAGACAAGCCATTTCCAGACCTTTTTAGGGACACTCTGAAGAAGTCTTCTCTGTCTTATTCCTAGTAAATAGTAAGTGTGTTACTTCTAGCTCTAAAGGTTATAATATCTGAGTCTAGAATATTAAAAGTAGGAAACTAATTTATTGACCTTTCAGGTTTAGAAAGTACAAAGGTATAGTCTAGTCTGTCTCTATCTCCCTAAACAGGACTTGTATTATATTTGACTCTAATAACAAGATAGTCTAGATCTAGAATGTTGAGAGTAGAGAGTAAACAATTTACAACTCTTTCAAAAAGTATAAAAACCCTGTTACCTTTATTACTTTCTCTCCTGTTAGGAAATATGTTGTCTCTGCTTCTTATAAAAAAAAAATTATAACCTAGATTACTAAGACAAGGTATAACATTTCTAAGTCTTTCAAAGGACACACAGATTATGTTTAGTTAGTAGCTTCTTACTAGATAGTACACATTTTGTCTCTTAGTCTAATAACAAAACAATCTTAATCTGGGACATTAAGAGTAATCAGATTGTAGCTAGGCCTTTTAAAGACTATACAGACTCAGTTCTGTTAGTTACCTTCTCTATTAATAGATTATACATTACTCTTAGTTCTATTAACTACTTAGGCTGAGTCTAGGACTCTAAGAGTAGTTAAACAAATTTTACACCTTTTAAGAGTTACACAATAACTGTTAAGAAGGCATCTTCTCTTATATACACATTAATAACTAACTAATACCTTTCTACTTACTTTTACTCTTATTATAGATTCTGTCTTTGACTAGTTATTAAGTTAAGTAGAACAGTACTAGTAGAGTACTAAATACTAAGCTTAAAGACTGTAAGACACACAAAGACTGATAGGATAAAAGTATCTTTGTTACAGTCAGTAGACAAGGACTGAGAGTACATAAT